AACCCACAGGAATTCGATGGGAAGGCACCATGGGAAGCATATAGATCACAATTTAAGCTCCTGGCTGAAATAAATGGATGGACAGAGAAGCAGAAAGCAGTGTACCTAGCAACAAGCTTGAAGAGACAACCACTGGAAATACTTGGAAAGTTGTCAGCAGACAACAGGCACAACTATAGAGCACTGGTAGCTGCTCTAGAACTCAGGTATGGAACTCAAAATCAGTCCGAAGTCTACAGGGCTAGGTTTAGGACTAAAGTCCGTGCTAAAGGCGAGACCCTGCAAGAGCTGGCACAGGATTTGGAAAGTATAGCACACAAGGCCTACCCAATTGCACCACCCGATGTCCTTAAGCTGTTGCTGAGGGATCAGTTTGTAGATGCCTTGGACAGTCCACAACTGAAGATACAAGTAAAACCAGCACCACCCTCTACTATTCAGGATGCAATGGCCAGAGCTCTTGAATTCGAATCCTATGTTAAGTCCAGCACAGAGGTGCCAAGGTTGGTATAGTCATCAGGATTCAAGGCCAGAATAGGTCAGCTTTCAGAGAAGTTTGAGGGACTTTGCTGGCACTGTAACAAACCTGTGCACAAGAGAGCTCAATGCCGGCAACTTCAAAACAGGGAAGATGTCATGGCAGGAAAGGCTGCTACTCAGAAAGGTTGTTGGAACTGTGGAGAGCAAGGACATATGAGGAGCCAGTGTAAGAGGAATACTACCAATAAGTCAGCTTTGGGAATCCAGTAGTGGTTGGTGTTGAGAGATGCCCACCAACCCCCATTGGGAAAGTCCCAACAGCTAAGTGTAAAATGGCAAGCACATACAGTGTCTACGTGACAGGAAAGCTGGATGGTCAAAAGTGCAACTTTGTCATAGATTCTGCATCTCAGCACACCCTTGTAGTACCAAATAGTACCAGAACCCATACAGAAGCTCTGTGGTGTAACAGGACACTATACAAGGTTGTGGGGACCAGTGTAGGTAACTATTGAGCTCATGGGCATAAAGGACAGACAAAAAGTATACTTGGCTGACATTGAAGACCAATGCGTATTAGGGTTGGACTACTTACTACCGAGGAAGTGTGTAGTTAACTTCGATAAAATGTCATTTGAGAAATCTGGAATCTGGTATGTGTTAAAAGGGAGGTTGAAGTAACCAGGTAACATGAAGCTGAAGTCAAAGTGACTGAAGGAGTTGATGATGGTGAATTGGAACCAGGTATAGATATTAAAGCAGAGCAGGAGAAAGACCAAGATTTGAAGCCAATAATTGATTTTCTACAAGCAAGTGTTTTTTGCCCTGCTTGGGAGAAGGTGTCTAGC